GCTCTTGACCCAAGGATGCAACACAAGCGAAGCAGATGCAGGCTGGATTGCTTGCCCAAGTCCTTTCTGGGGTTCCCAGGCTGCAAAGCCAACTTCTCCTAGGTCTTTCGCCCAAAGGCTGTTACAGCTGAAGGGGAGGGCCATGGGAGTACCAGGGCTTTCTCTGTCTTGAGCTGTTGTCTCTGAAGATCCAGCAGCGCTAAGCTTCATGAGCAATAAGTCAGAGGCTGCCTGGGTTCCAGTTATCAGTACAAGGTAGTCTTTTTATTCATACCTTTGGAAAAAAACAGTTTTATCAGCACCTAATCCACATATCATACAATCCAATAGTTCAGTCATATCAAGAGTTGTACAATCATTACCACAAACAATTTTAGAACATTTCCTTCTTTCTTGCACCCCTTGTTATTAGCTACTCATTCCCCCAATCTCCCCGCCACACACCAAAGAAACTATGCATCCAGTTACTGTCTCTATGGACTTGTTCATAACTAACGTTAAGCAAAACCATACTTGGCACCTGAGCATGGCCTTTGACTATAGTGCCTTTTCCGAAGAGACAAGTCACCAGCAAGATGAAAGGCCCCATAGGTGCCCTGCAATTTCATCTGTTTGTTTGTTTTTTAAATCCCATCTTCCGAGCTGGTGATTCAACCACAGCCCCTGAATGACTGCCCTCTCCCCACGTTGCCCCTGGCCAAACCATGCAGGCGACCCTTCCTCCCCTCCCAACTCAGATCCTGGAGCTGCGGCACGAGAACGTGGCCCTCTACCTGGGGCTCCTCCTGGCGACGGGGGCGGCGGGAAGCTCAGCGCCCGGGGAGGGCACCCTGGCTGTGGTCTCAGAGCACTGTGCCCGGGGCTCCCTCCAGGACCTCCTCGCCCAGAGAGACATCAAGCTGGACTGGATGTTCAAGTCCTCCCTCCTGCTGGATCTCATCAAGGTGCGGCTGTGGAAGCGGAGGTGGGTGGGTAGGGATGGGTAGGAGGGTTCCTGGGGCTGGTAGCTATAGCGTCTGGAGCCGCCAATTCCCTCTGCCCTTTCCAGGGAATGAGATACCTGCACCACCGAGGCGTCGCCCACGGGCGACTTAAATCCCGGAACTGCGTGGTGGACGGGAGGTTCGTGCTCAAGGTCACCGACCACGGCCACGGGCGGCTGCTGGAAGCTCAGAGGGTCTTACCAGAGCCCCCAAACGCGGAGGGTAGGATCCCTGGAGCATGCCCCCGGGGCCCCAGAATTTTAAGGGCTCCTCCCTCCTTCCCAGGGAGCCTGAGTGATGTAGGAATTACTTGTTGGGCTACTAACCTCCACCCCACCCCCGCTGCCTTGGTCTGTCCCCGGAGACCTGCAACTATCCCCAAAGCCATTTCTGAGAAAACCAGGTAGGTGCTGCAGGGGGAAAGGAGCCCTGGTGGAATCGTGGTTAAGGATTGAGCTGCAAAGTCAGCAGTTTGAAACCACCAGCCCATCCGCGGGAGGAAAACGAGGCTTTCTACTCCCAGAATGAGTTACAGCCTTGGAAACGCACAGGGGCAGTTCTACCCTGTCCTCGAGGGTCACTGCGGGTCGGAATCGACTCGATGGCAGTCTGGATGGGAATTTTGGCTTCTCTTTCCCTCTCTCTGTTCGCCTTCGCCCTCTTTCACAGCCACGAGTCATAGCTCCGGCTCCCAAAACGGAACTGTGATTTCAGAAGGGTGCAGGAGGTGGGGTCTGCACCGGAAACGTGGGGTGTGTCCAGGGGCGGAGCCTGCTTCCAAAGGGGCGGGGTGTCAGCCCCACCCCCACCCCCCTCACCCCTCTCTGGGCTCCATTCTGGGCACCACCCTTCTGAAGTTTCTCCCCCACCCAAACAAACAAACCCAGTACCAGGAGAGGACTCAGAGACTCCAGCACGGCGTCCCTGTGCCCCTCCTTAGAGCAACAGAAAGCCTCGCCTTCCTCCTGAGGAGTGGCTGGTGGACTCGCCAAGGCAGGGGGGAGGCGGGGAGGCGGAGAGGGAAGGTTAGTAGATATCACGGAGCAAACCCACGCTGAGATGTGGGGGTCTGTCCCCCGTACCCCCTTGCCTCCGCGTGCCTATGTCCCCTTCCCTATCCTAGACCAGCTTTGGACAGCTCCGGAGCTGCTCCGGAGCCCCGCCCTGGAGCGTCGGGGGACTCTGGCTGGGGACGTCTTCAGCATGGCCATCATCATGCAGGAAGTGGTGTGCCGCAGCGCACCCTACGCCATGCTGGAGCTGAGCCCCCAGGGTACGACCTCCCCTCAGCCCTGTGACGTAGTAGTCGGGACCAGAGGGGCACCTTGCAGTTAGGGCTCCCGTTTCTCCCTAAAACCCACCACGAGGCTTTATGATGCACGGTTCCCCAAAGCTAGGGTCTGAAGGGTCAGGACCACGGAGAACAGAACTTCTGGATGAGATGGGATCCCGCTGGGGAATCTGACCCAGCAGGCTCCTCTCAGATTCCCAGGGGGAAGGGGTCACAAACACCCCCTGTGGATTTCACAGGCTTAGGAAGGAACCTGTGGGTAAAGTACCTAGTTCAGCGGAGCTATGCAATGACTGCTAGTCTCTTGGCCTGTGTCACCTGGCACCCCCTACCCTCCCCCAAGGGTCAGGGTCCTCTTGTTACTCCCTACCCTTCTCCTCTAAGTTCTAGGACCCCCTGCTAGTATCCCTAGCTCAGGCTTCAACCAGCAAGCCATGGACAGAAGTGGCTTTGGTTCTGGGGGGCCCACCCTTCACAGTTCCCTCATGCCCCCAGAAGTGGTGCAGAGGGTGCAGGGCCCACCTCCGCTGTGTCGGCCGTTGGTGTCCATGGACCAGGCCCCCATCGAATGCATCCGACTGATGGAGCAGTGCTGGGCGGAGCAGCCAGACCTCCGGCCCTCCATGGACCGCACCTTCAACCTGGTCAGGCGCTGGAACTGGGCAAGGGCTGGGCTGGCCACTGGGACCCTGACCTTGTCAGTAACCCGAGGAGGTGGCGGGCAGGCACGGCAGGACCTCTTATTTCAGTCTAAGGAATAGCCTAAGGACCAGCTTGGTGGGGCCTGTAGAGGCCTCGGAGAGGGAGACAGATCTCCAGGTGGCTAAAACATTCTATTCAACTGGGCTGACATGTTGTGAGAGCTAAATTAAGGGGCCCCGGTGACCTGAATGTTGGTCAGCAGTAGGAAACCACCAGAAAACTCCTTGGGAGTTTATTCCTGTGAAGAGTTAGCAGTGGTTCTCAATCTTCCTCATGCCGGAACCCTTTAATACAGTTTCTCATGTTGTGGTGACCCTCCAACCATAAAATTATTTTCGTTGCCACTTCATCACTGTCATTTTGCTACTGTGATGAATCATCATGTAAGCATCTGATATGCAAGATACATTTTCATTGTTACAAATTGGACATAATTAAACATAATAAAAGCATAGTGATTAATCGCAAAGCAAGACGTAATTATATACTGTGAAATATCTGTGTTTTCCAATGGTCTTAGGTGACCCCTGTGAAAGGGTTGTTCGACCCCCCAAAGGGGTCGCGATCCACATGTTGAGAATCGCTGAGTTAGAGTTTCAGAAACCCACAGGGACAGTTCTACCTGTCCTAGAGGACCGTTTTGAGTCAGCATTAACTCGTGGCAGTGAGTTTGAGAAGTTATGTGTTTGGCAAAGACACTTGCCCTGGAAGTCCAAATGACTGGGATTCAGGGCCCTGACTTCTCTGGACCTTCCTGGCCCATGCGCCCCTGGAAACAGGGCCCAGCACCAAGGCTGCTTGATAAGAAGCAGATGAAGGGGGCGCTGGGGGCGCGGGAGCAGGGGCAGGCATGGCCCAAGCCCATGGGCTCCTCAGGAGTCCCATCAGCTTCTTCCTTCTCCTAGTTCAAGGGCATCAACAAGGGCCGCAAGACCAACATCATTGACTCGATGTTGCGCATGCTGGAGCAGTACTCCAGCAACCTGGAGGACCTGATCCGGGAACGCACAGAGGAGCTGGAGTTGGAAAAGCAGAAGACAGACCGGCTGCTCACCCAGATGCTGCCCCCGTGGGTGCCCACGGGGAGGGCGGCCTGGGCCGCAGCACACCAGCAGCCTCTAGGTATCCTGACTGCATGCCACCCGCAGGTCGGTGGCGGAGGCCCTGAAGATGGGGACGCCGGTGGAGCCCGAGTACTTTGAAGAGGTGACGCTGTACTTCAGCGACATCGTTGGCTTCACTACTATCTCGGCCATGAGTGAGCCCATCGAGGTGGTGGACCTGCTCAATGACCTCTACACGCTCTTTGATGCCATCATCGGATCCCACGACGTCTACAAGGTGGCGGCCCGGAGGGTCCCCACCTCCAGTTTAGTCTCACCGCCTCCCCCAAGCTCCTCCTGCTCAGCCTCCAGCGCACCTGCCCCACCCACTCTCCTCCAGCCCTCGTGCCTCTGAGTTCCGACCCCCAGTGCCCAGCTCAGCTCCCCAACTCTCAGCCTGCTTGTCCAGGATCTCTGCACGGATCAGATTAGGTCTCCTGGGGGCACTGCAGGGCGCAGGGGGGAGGGGACGGGGCACCCAGTACTGAAGGAAGGCCACCATCCTTTCCCCAGGTGGAGACCATTGGGGACGCCTATATGGTGGCTTCGGGGCTGCCCCAGCGGAATGGGCAGCGGCATGCGGCAGAGATCGCCAATATGTCGCTGGACATCCTCAGCGCTGTGGGCACCTTCCGCATGCGCCACATGCCCGAGGTGCCCGTGCGCATTCGCATCGGCCTGCATTCAGGTAACCTCCCAGGGTCGGGGCCATGGCTTTTGCTGCCCAGACCACTCAGAGAGCAAAACCCAACTGTCATAGAAGCAGAAAGCCTCCTTTCGCCAAGAGCTGATGTCTAGTCCACGCCGCCGCCACCAGCCACTAAAGGGCTTCCAAAAAGTTCGTGGCAAGATGCCCTTATCTTGAAGCTGCCTTGGTTTTAATGGGGGAGACTATGCTGAGCGGTGTGTGTTATCTGGGGGAGCTGGGGGAGCTCTTGGGGGAGGGACTAAGAGCCGCTCAGGGCTCCCCTCGCCTGCTAACCTGCACACCTCCGCAGGCCCGTGCGTGGCGGGCGTGGTGGGCCTCACCATGCCGCGGTACTGCCTGTTTGGGGACACGGTCAACACCGCCTCTCGCATGGAGTCCACCGGGCTGCGTGAGTGTGTCACTGGGGCTGCGGGGGGCGGGGAAGGGCGGGGGCGCGGGGCGGCCCGAGCGCTTGACGTCCTGCCACTCCGCAGCTTACCGCATCCACGTGAACAGGACCACGGTGCGCCTCCTACAGGCCCTGGACCAGGGCTTCCAAACGGAGGTTCGGGGTCGCACTGAGCTGAAGGTCAGGTCTGCCCCCCTCCGCCCTCGCTGACACCCTCCCTCCCCTCCCCACCCGCCTAGGACTAGAAGTCCCCCACCCGGGCGGTCCCCGACCCACCTCCCAGACCACCCCCTCCTGCCCAGGCCGCCTAAGTCCCCGTGTCTCTCCAGGGCAAGGGCGCCGAGGACACGTACTGGCTGGTGGGCAGACGGGGCTTCAACAAGCCTATCCCTAAACCGCCCGACCGGCAGCCAGGGTGAGCGTTGGGTGTCTGGCCAGCGAGGGACAGGCCCCTGCCAGGGCCAGAGCATCCCCTCTGCCCTGGCGTCCCTCCCTCCCTCCGGGTGTCTGCCTGGACTCTCCTCCTTCCCCTGCCCTGAGACGGCCACCCTCACCTCTCCGCGCAGGGCCAGCAGCCACGGCATCAGCCTGCACGAGATCCCCCCGGAGCGGTGCCAGAAGCTGGCGAAGGCCAGGCCCGGCCAGTTCTCCGGACAGTGAGGCCGCGCGGCGGGTCCAGGTGCTTCAGGTCCCATGCCTACCTCTGGCTCCCCAATCTCGGAGGTGCTTGCTGCTTCAAGTGGGCTGTAGTAGGCCCAGAAATCCAGGCTTGGGTGCATGATGGCCCTGGTCCCTCAAATGGAACTAGCAAACCAATCTGGACACCGAGGGGGCCAACACCCACCAAACAAACGTGGAAAACTTCCCTGTTGAGCAAACTGGTCCACGCCACTCCTTGAAACTCTGATCTAACCCTCCTCTTGCTCAGGGAGCCCTATAAACCCTTTTCCAGAGTCTCTCTCTAAGACACTGTTCTTTCCCTCAGGAATATTCGGGAAGGCCCGTCTATGAAAGTTGCTTCAATAGAAGACCGAAAGGCTGGCTGATGCTGGCAGTTTCCGTCCAGCTCTGCCGCAAAGGATTCTGGGCCTGCTGTTGACCTTGGGAGAGCCTCGGGCCCTCTCTGGGCTTGGGCCCCCTCAGTGGTGAAGGAGAGGTGGCCCAGAGGGTTTCCACAGCCCCTTCCAGCTTTACCTGCAGGCTAGCCTCAGGATCCAGGGCCCTGTGGTGTCTGGCCCCACGGCCTCGAAGGACCCTGAGGTCATCAGGGATGTCAGGAGGTCAGAGGGAGGGTCTCCATTTTCCAGGGGCCCTCAAGGCCCCAGAAAGGAGGACCTGGGGTTGAATGCTTCAGCCCCAGAGGACGTAGACATCTTGGTCCCTCCTAGTCAGGGTTGGCTCATGGCCTGAGGAGGAATAGACTTCGCTTTAGCCTGGAGTCTCCTTCCCAATTCCACCTCCTCCTTAGTCAGCTCCCTCTCAGGTCGGCGTGACCAGGGAACATTGTTTCCCATGTGCAGAGAAAAGCTTATTTCGAGGCTTTGGGGGATGGGAAATGAAGCAAACAGCACCAAACCTTGTCTAACCAGAACACACAAGAAATAGTCGTCCCTCTTTAACCAGGCCCTGCGGGCAGGTGGTGAGACAGAAGAGTCCTCTCTGCTCAGACCTTGGCAACAAGGGTCACCCTCTGTCCTGAGAGCCCCCGGCTGAAGTTCCCTTGGCGGTGGTGCTCAGATGTTCCAGAGCCTGGGCCTGAGCATTTTTGACGGTTGGTGCCCTTTGCCATCGCTGTGGTCGCTGAGAGAAGTTGGCTTGCCACTGTACGTGGTGAGTGTCCAGTATGTGGAGACTATGGTGTCGTGACACTCAGGCTGTCCTAAGTGGAAGGATGGACTGGATCCTCAGACGAGTAGCACTGCCATCAGTTGGGGGCTTGTCCTCAGTGCCCTTCCTGGGCATCTGTGTCTGCACTTTGACACGTCCCCTTGGACTATTTCTGTGCCCTGAGGAGTTTTCAAAGCATGGAATGAAATGTCCCTAGGATCCCTAAAATCCAAGCTATAAACTACTCTGTTTCCCCGAAAATAAGACAGTATCTTATATTAATTTTTGCTCCCAAAGATGCACTAGGTCTTATTTTCAGGGGATAGCTTATTTTTCCATGAAGAAGAATACGGTACACATTTATTGTTTATTGTTTTATTAAAAGAGACCTCACACTTCCTGTCTGCTCTGGCTGTGCTGCGGCCAACAATGAACTGTGCGGGGGCGCCCGCTGCTACGGTCCAGAGTCCAGAGTTATGGTAGCTTCGGGGGGGCTTATTTTCGGGGAGGTCATATTTTCGGGGGGATGCCTTATATTTCAGCAAGAGGTAAAACTGTAAGTAGGTCTTATTTTGGGGGGATGTCTTACTTTCAGGGAAACACGGTAGCTATCAAATACGTTTGCTCTAGCTTAGGGAATCAGGGTTTCTGCTCGTTTGGGTGTTGAGCCAACATTTTAAAATCAAGAGCTACCACATTTTAAGCAGGCATGCTTGACATCGGAAGAGCTGGCCACGCGGGGCTGGGCCTGCCCCTCAGCCTTGCCCTGTCAGAACTGAAGCACGACAGTTCTTCACCCAGGACTTTCACCCCTCAGTTCTCAGTCCCCAACCTTCCCTATTCCCCCAAGAACGAAAATTGTTTGAACCCTGCCGAATCTGTAAGGCCCCTGGACATTTGAGCTCAGGAGTATAAAGATGGTAGGCTCGTGGGCAGCCCTAATGGCATTGTAGGTTACACACTGGACTGCTAACCACAAAGCCAGCAGTTCGAGACCACCAGCCCTCCCACAGGAGAAAGAGGAAGCTTTCTAACAGGAACATCAAGAGTGGCCGGCTGAGACTCACGGGGCAGTGTCCGCTGTTGAGGTTTGGTTTGGGGTTTTAGGCTCATGGGTGCCTCCTAGAGGTTGCTTTGCGTGCTCTCTTTTTAAAAACGAAGCTGGGTTCAAGACCTCCCTTTCTGCCTTTCCTCCCGAGGTGGAGACCAGGTGCGTTAGAAATGTCAAACCCGGCGCTTGCAGGTTCTGGTGCTTATTGGAGGTGGCGCTGCTCTGGTGAATACTTTAGGGCAATTTTACAAATATTCTGAATTGAGTTCTGAGACGAATTCAGACTTAAAACTGACACTTGAAAACAAACAATACTAACAAGACATTAGAGCGTTATTTAAGATTTTCTCAGTACTTCGGTCCCAGGGATTGGAGGGCAGATTCCACAAATCACTTGTTATTCTCCTGCTTCGTCTCCCCCTCCCTTCTCTCCCTTCCCCCCTCCCGCCTCCCCTTCCTTAACCTGCTCACCTACCTGTGTGGGGCCGGGAGGACCATGAGGTGTCATTCAGGGGAGCCTCGTGGGAAAGCGCTGTCCAGGTTCGGTGGCAGGAGCTCCGTGTGACAGGCTTGAGCAGGACACCCCACAAGGAGAACCAGCCAGGATCTAGATGGTTCTGGACCCAGATACAGCTTGGGGCGGGAAGGGGCAGTCAGGGTGGAGCCTGTCCCTTCCAACCCTCCACTCCGCAGTCTCCAGGCCAGGACACCCCACTGTCAAGTCAGCAAACAAGACTAGAGGGGGAGCCTCAGAAGGAGAGTCCTGCCACCTCTCCAGCCAAGAGAACTCAGGGATGCCCCCACCCCCACCCAGCACAGAGCTGACAGGAGAAGGAAGATTTAAGTGTCATCCCATGTCTTTGCCCCTCATCTCCTCCATCTCTGCCTCAGTCTCCCCCACTGCTCTCAGTTCCCACCCTCTCTCTGCCTCAGGCTCCCCTTTGTCTGTTCCTCAGGGTCCCTGCACTCTGCCCTGCGGTCTCTCCACACATTCCCCCCTTTCTGTCAAATCTTTCTTGCTGGGTCCAGCTGACTACCTGACGTAGAACCTGTCACACCCCCACCCACTGACCCTGTCATTCCTGGAACCCCTACCCCAGAGCACCTCGTCTGGTCATTAGGCGACTCCCACCTTCTGATGTGTTTACACTACCTCTGCCAGTGGCCCACGTGGGGTGGGGGGCTGGACCCCATACTTGGGGCTGTCCTTGCCTTTGGCATGGCTCTTCAGCAGGGACCAGTGACAGCTAAAGCAGGGGCCTCCCTCAGCTGCTGCAGGGCGACACATCCTGGCCCAGGGCTCCCCTCTGTACTGCTCCTCAGGGTCTGGGCCCTGCCCCGACCCCATACGCAGAGGACCCCAAGCACCTTCCTTGTGGGGTGGGGGTCAAACGGCTTCTGGGTGGGGCTTAGGGATGCTGCACTGCTGGGCTGTTTCCCGGGATCTTCTGGTCCTTGAGTGGTGGGCACCAGGCCATATGCTGAGGGGGTGGGTCCTGGGAGGGTGGGGGTGGAAATGAAGGTGTGCTTTCCTCCGTTTCCTAATGCCTGGTCTTTGGGGCTTGGAGAAATGAGCTGATCATACCTATCCCTGGAATGTTCAAAGCTGGCATTGCCTGGAAGGAGTTCAGGTTAGGGACCAACCTTTAAGAACTGGATGGGGTGGGGGTGTGAGCTGGACCTCCCATGCCAGAATCTCTCCTGATCAGGGGCTCTCCTTGGAGGGGGCCAGGCAGGGAAATCTCAGGCCTTCAAACTTCTGGAAAAGGCCAGAATCTCTTGGAAGAGGTGGTGTGGCCTCATCCCGTGGTTGTAAGCATGGGAGTGGAGGGAAGGGAAGGTTGGCGCTGAGCTGGGACCAAGATGGAAAGGACAAGCCCCAGGTGGGAGAAGTGAATGGGGCTCTGTGCAGGACTCCGCCAACATGCCACTAACCCACAGCTGAGACAGCTTTTCCGTTGTTTTTAACATCTTATTGTGGCTCAGGTGAGAGTTGACAGAGCAAGTTAGTTTCCTATTGAATAATGTGCACATATTTTATTTTGGGACATTAATTTCCATCCCCTCCTATATTAATTTCCATGAATTTATCACCACATCATTGTTTTAATCTGCACATAACGGATTTCCATGTAATTTGAGTCCACATAATGTTCATCTCCACACAGCTTCAATTTTGTGGCATGAATTTCCATCCCCTGTAACAGCGCTCTTCTCACGTCCTCCCCGGGTTCCCTGTTTCCATCTGCCCGTCTTTGCCCCTTTCTTCCTCCTGCCAAGCTTGCCCTTTTGGTCTCTTAAGGTTAATTGTCCTGAGAAGCACGTTCCTTATAGATGCTATTGCTCACGTGACAAACCTATCTCTAATTTGGCTGAGAGGTGGTCTCCAGGAGTGGCTTCAATCCCAGGCTTGAAGAACCATAGCCTCAGGGGTTCCACCAGTCTCTACCACATCAGTATATGTGGTCTTTTTTTTAAAAATCATTTTATTGGGGGGTCGTACAACTCTTATCACAATCCATCCATCCATCCATTGTGTCAAGCACATTTGTACATTTGTTGCCATCATCATTCTCAAAACATCTGCTTTCTACTTGAGCCCTTGGTATCAGCTCCTCATTTTCCCCCTCCCTTGACGCTCCCCACTCTGTGGTCTTTTTTAAATGATGGTTTTGAGTTGGTTCAACATTTTTCCCCCAAGCAGAGCAGTGTGTGGTGGAAGCTGGGCACCATCCACTTCTTATGGTCTCGGGATAGTGAAAGCTGTGATTGTGTGGTACACAATCTTTTGGACTCACTACTTCCTTGAATCTTTGATTTTCTTCACTCTTCTTTTCTGCTACTCACCAAAGTAGGATTTGGAATGTAAGATTATAATATAGAGTTAAGCGCTTATCTTACAAGTTGAACGGGTTCGAGAGGGTACTATCTGCAAAGAGAAAACTTAGAGAGAAGAGAAAAAGATAGATGCAGTTGAGGTGCAGGAGTCCCTGCAGCACAGATGTTCCAAGGTGCAGAACTTCATTTGAGGCAGGTCAGAATGCTCTTCCTGCAAGGTGAGCAATGGGTAAGCATGACAGTGAGGCAGGAGGAAAGAAAAAGAAAGTACAACTATATATATATAGGTATAGACATAGATATGCATATATGTAAATATATAACTATATACAGATGGGTGTATTTGTCTCTGTATGTGCATATATGTAAATAGAGCAAGGAAGCAAATGGACTTTGGGCCTCCACTTTTAAATCTTACCTCAGGACAAGCACAGTTTGTTCTATGATGCTCACCTTCCCAACAGCATCACTGAAGACAAAATGGGTGCATAAGCAAATGTGGTGAAGAAAGCTAATGGTGCCTAGCTATCAAAGATATAGTGTCTGGGGTCTTAAAGGCTTGAAAGTAAACAAGCAGCCATCTAGCTCAGAAGCAACAAAACCCACATGGAGGAAGCACACCAGTCTGTGTGATCACGAGGTGTTGAAAGGATCAGGTATCAGGCATCAAAGAACAAAAAAGCATATCGTTGTGAATGAGGGGAGTGCAGAGTGGGGACCTAAAGCCCATCTGTAGGCAACTGGACATCCCCTTACAGAAGGGTCTCAGGGAGGAGAGGAACCAGTCAGGGTGCAGTGTAGCAATGATGAAACACAACTTTCCTCTAGTTCCTAAATGCTTCCTCCTAAATGCACTATCATGATCCCAACTTTACATAACAAATCCAGCTAGACCAGAGGATGTACACTGGTACAGATAGGAACTGGAAACACAGGGAATCCAGGACAGATGATCCCTTCAGGACCAGTGGTGAGAGTGAGAGTGGCGATACCAGGAGGGTGGAGGGCAGGTGGGGTAGAAAGGGGGAACGGATCACAAAGATCTACATATAACCTCACCACCCCCCCACCCCCGGGGGATGGACAACAGAAAAGTGGGTGAAGGGAGACGTCAGACTGTGTAAGACATGACAAAATACTAATAATTTATAAATTATCAAGAGTTCATGAGGGACATGGGGTGGGGAGGAAGGGGAAAAATGAGGAGCTGATACCAAGGGCTCAAGTAGAAAGCAAATGTTTTGAGAATGATGATGGTAACAAATGTACAAATGTGCTTGACACAATGGATGGATGGATGGATTGTGATAAGAGTTATAGGAGCCCTCAATAAAATGATTTTTTTTTAAAGTTTGTGTAACTTTGTTCCCTGTATGCTGTACTATTTTCAGCACTTACAAATATAAATGTAGAAATATCCTCT